CCTCCTCTGCGGCAGGCCCCGCAGGCTCGGCTGCTGGCCCCACAGGTGCAGGCGGCGCCGCAGGTGCCTACGGCCGCAGCGGTTCCGCAGGTCCCCGCGGCGCCGCCCGCTGGCCCGCAGGTGCCCCAGCCAGTACTGCCGGCCCCGCTGTCTGTCTCGCTGTCTACTACACAGGCTGTGCACTGCCCACCCATCATCTGGCAGGCCCCCAAAGGCCAACCCCCTGTGCCACACGAGCTGCCGACGTCGATGGAGTTCCAGGAGGTGCAGCAGGCCCAGGCGATAGCCTGGCAGGCCCCGAAGGCCCCCACTCACTTCTGGCAGCCCCTACCTGCTCAGGAGGCCCAGAGGCAGGGCCCCCCCATCGTCCAGCTGGAGCAGCCCTTTCAGGGAGCCCCGCCCTCCCAGAAAGCCCTACAAATCCAGCTACCCACCCAGCAGGCCCAGCCCACGGGTCCGCAAGCAGAGCTGCCCACATTGCAGCTCCAGCCCTCCTGGCAGGCCCCCCCTGCAGTCTTGCAGGCCCAGCCTGGAGCCCCCATAGCTGAGGCAAATTTTCCCCGGGGCTCCACTAAGTCACTGATGACTCCATCAGGAGAATCCAGGGCCTCTTCTATAGAACGCAGGGGCTCTGCTAAAGAACGTAGGACCTCCTCAAAGGAAAGGAGGGTCCCTTCAAAGGACCGCATGATCTTTGCTGCCACCTTCTGTGCTCCCAAGGCAGTGTCAGCTGCCCGAGCGCACTTGCCAACTGCCTGGAAAAACTTGCCTGCCACATCAGAGACCTTTACTGCCACCTCAAGGGTCTTTCCAGCTACCTCCCAGTTTCAGCCTGCCTCTTCTCATGCCTTTACAGGCCCCTCCATCACCTCAGAGGCCCCCAAGTCACTACCATTTGCTCTGCAGGATCCATTTGCCTGTGTGGAGGCTCTGCCTGCAGTCCCGTGGGTTCCACAGCCCAATGTGAATGCCTCGAAGGCATCCAAGGTAGTGCCCACCATCCTGATGGCTACAGCAGCTGCCCCACAGGCAGCTGCCACCTTTCAAGAGGCCTCAAAGACCTCCGTTGAGCTGCCACGTCGCTCGGGCAAAGTCACCCGGAAGAAGAAGCACCTGGAAGCCGAAGAGGGCAGCAGTGGCAATGTGTTGGCCTTTCATGACTGGCAGGGCCCAAAGCCCTGGGAGAATCTCAATGTGAGTGACTGGGAAGTCCAACTCCCTATCCAGGTCCTGGGTGACTGGGAGTGCCCAAACACCCCCTGTGGCCTGAGTGGCTGGGAGGGCCCTAGTACCTCCAGGATCCTTAGTGGCTGGGAAGGGCCCAGCACATCTTGGGCCCTGAGTGCCTGGGAGGGCCCCAGCACCTCGAGGGCCCTGGGTCTCTGTGAAGGCCCAGGTAGCCCTCAGCCCTTGCTTATCTCTGAGGTCCCCAATCTCCCTCAGGGATCCACTTCCACCCAGGATGATCCCAAGGTGGAGACTCAGCCAATGTCTCCCTTGGATGAGAGAGCAAATGCACTGGTGCAGTTCCTCTTGGTCAAGGACCAAGCCAAGGTGCCCATCCAGCACTCAGAGATGGTGAAAGTCATCATCCAAAAGTACAAACCCGAGTGCTTAGATATCATCAGCCATGCCAACACTAAACTAGAGGGTGGCTTTGGTTGTCAATTGAAGGAAATTGACACCAAAACCCACTCTTATATTATCATCAGCAAGCTGGGGCACCCTAAATGTGATTTGGTGGCATCCTATTTAAACAGGCCCAAGTTTGGCCTTCTGATGGTGGTCTTGAGTCTCATTTTTATGAAAGGTAATTGTGTCAAGGAAAATCTGATCTTTAATTTTTTGTTCGAGTTAGGGTTGGATGTCCGGGAGACAAGTGGTCTCTTCGGAAATACAAAGAAGCTCATCACCGACGTGTTCGTAAGGCAGAAGTACCTAGAGTACAGGCGAATCCCCTACACTGAACCAGCAGAATATGAGCTCTTCTGGGGCCCTCGAGCGTTCCTCGAAACCAGCAAGATGCTTGTCCTGAGGTTTTTGGCCAAGCTCCATAAGAGAGATCCACGGTGCTGGCCATTCCATTACCTTGAAGCGCTGGCAGAGTTTGAGTTCGAAGATGTGGACGAGGATGAGCCTGAAGCCGGTGATAATGCCGGTGGCCCCACCAGCAGCTCCCGTCCCTGCTAATAGGTGTTGCAGAGAATTAATTGCTTTGGGTCCCCGGCCAGAGGCCACTGACAGGGTGGGGGGACAATTTGTTTCCAGTGTTTATGTTCCAGTTCTATGTGTGTAAGTTTGGGTTTTCAATTTGGTTTCATATCTGCCAAAGCTTTGTACATTTTCATGTGGTGTTGATTTCAATTGGCTACTGTTCTATTTGGTATTTTGGCATCTGTATTTTTAAGTGAGATCTGTGGTTCTCTGTTTTGTGTTATAATTGTTATGTTTTGTATCAGAGTTGTGCTGGCTTTGTGAAATGAATTAAGAAGCTATCCATCTCATTCTGGTACAGATTATGTAGCATCGTAATTGGTTGTTCTTTGAACATTAAAATGACTCATCAGTAAAAACTGTCTGCAAAAAAGTAAATATCTATATCTATATATATAAATATACTTTCAGCATAACATGGTAGTGTTTGTCTTTATTCTAAATTTTACTCCAGATGGTGGGAGCCAAGTCTTATCATACTCTCTGTATAGACATAAACACTGTGACTACTATCAGTGATAGTAAAAACCATGGTGATAAAACTGTTTTCCAAGGATAGTATTCCATTCACCCATGTAATGATGCAGTAATTGTGGTGGGTGGAGAGACATAAGATTTCCATTAAAGAAAGAGTAAAACTTCACAAGTCAGTGAGGCTGAATCAAGGAGGAGTTTATACCTCATCTTAATTCTCTTTGAAAACAGGCATTATTATCCTGATGTTGTAGGTGTCAGTGTAGGTCTCAAGTAGATTAATTAAGTTGCACACGTTAGTGTCAAGCCAGTAAAGTTGTAATCTGAAGCAGAACTTTTCCTTAAGGGTTTATGGGGGAGGAGGACCATCTACCTGCAGGACAATTTTCCAGGTTTATTAGCCATGAGGAGAAATTGGCCAAAGGGGCATTTGTCAGTCATATGGCCCTCAGGGGCATCCAGTGGCTCAGATTTGGGTTTTCATCAACACACTGGTACTGGGATGGAAACATGCTACCCACAAAATATTCAACCTTATAACAGGGAAAAGGAAAAAGCACGCTTCAATGAATTAGGAACCCTGCAGAGTGCAGGGGGTAATGGCTGGGTTGGGGGGAGAGGGTGGGCGGTGGTGAGAGGAAGATCACTAGAGACATGAAAGTCTAGGGGAAGAACCTGGGGGGTGAAGCGGGGAGGTAAAAGTCAATGCTAATATACAAGGAAAGTAAGCTGGCCATGTTCAAAGTTGATAAATAACTGCAGGCAGGGCACAGGACCTGGTGTGAGGAGAAAGGGGGTAAGGGAGCAAACTGGCCTGAGTATCTTGGGAAAAGGTATTTATGTGCACACCAGTCTGGTGTATACAAAAGGACTTTCCCTAGGTCACTACTCTCTTCCTGCAGTCAGGGAGCATCAGCCTGTCTTGCCACCCCAGTTGTCTTATCAGAATCAAGAAACTCAGCCCCATATCCTGCTTTAGGAGTAAAGGCAAATTCCAGGTGATTTAAGTGGCGATGGTGGAATTCTCCTTCCACCTAGTGGCAGCTTGGCAGTGCACAGAGGTTGTAGCCTGACCTATGGTTCTTAACCCCAATACCGGGTACCTGGATCTTGGCTACTAGTTTCTTCATAACCTCTGCCCACAATTTTAACCATATCTGTGTCCAGACATTTCTTCTTTTCTCTTATATCACAGGCCAATGTAAACCTCTTTTCCAAGTCCAATGCAAGGGTCACTCTGATTTCTGCTCTGGGTCCTGCAGTGCTCCAGCTTCAGAAGCCAACTAAGAGAGGACCTCAGGAGAAGGGGGCTATTCTCAGCACCCACATACTGAGTTTCTAGGATAACAAGCCCCACCCCAGAACCTGCCTGGCTGCAGGTGATCTTCAGCAAGTTATGCAAGTGGCCAGGTCCACCAGAGTCTCGGAGGGGGTTTCTGGTAAACTCCGTGGGTTGACAGACCTTCACATCTGCCCATGATTGATTTTTAGTTATTTTGGCAACAACAATAAGTGCCCACTAAAGACCATAGCAATGCCCCAGCTAAGAATCACCCCAAAAGAGGCTTAACTGAGCCAGTAAAGTGGCAAATAGATCTAATAGTTCTTGTTCTTTCTTTCTAGTTTATTTATGATGGTACCTGTAGTTTTCTCCAACCATTTACTCATGGGGTGCCTCAGCAAGATGCTATTTGTAAAGCAAAAGTTGGAACAGCATCCTAGACTTTGGTGCCATACTTAAGGTGTGGCTGGCTCTCCTCCATGATAAAAAGTCTTCTACTTTTCAATCACAACCCTCAATCCCACATACCTCGTTTACCTCATATTTGATTGACATTTAGTAACCTTCTTTAAGTAGTGCCAAGGGCTGAAGACCTGAATTTAATTAAGTTGTAATGAGATGTAAATTGCAATAGTAACAAAACTTTTTTCTTTTTTTCATTGCAAATATAAAAACCAAGCTGGGCAAATATCCAAATGAAAAGTTTAAGAAAGAACAGATAACATAAAAGCAGAAGGCAGAAAACAAAGACCAGGTATATATGAAACCACAGGGAAAAAAGGAATGTGGACAGATTCAAGATGCACTTATTTGAAAGTGAGAAAATGTCGGTAAATGTAGAACAAAGTATTTTACTATAAAATGAAGAAGAAATAAAATGAGCAAAAGATGTTAGGTAACAAAAAAATAAACACAAATGACAAATAACCATTGAAAATGTTACATCTCATGAATATTTAAAGACAAATATTAGAATGTTTTGGTTTTTATTTATTAAATTGGCATAGAATAAAATAAAATCTCATGTAAAATCCAATTTAAATAAGGCTGTTATGAAAGTAGCACCCTTATACACAACTAATTAAAATATAAATTACTAACATTTTCCCTGAAATTAATTCAGCCTACTACATCTTCAAGGGGTTTGGATTCTTTTATACTATTTCACCTAGAAATCCCTTACATGGGAATATATTGAATGGAAATAACCTGCAGTGAAGGCAAAGACTGCTTCACAAAAACGTCATCTGTGAAATTGGAGGAAACTTAGGAAATGTGAACCCCCTGCCCCCTGCAACCATTCTGGTGTCAAGGTGGTCCAGTAAGTTTCTGCTGGACAGACCACAGTCTTCTTCAGAAAGGGACTTGCCATTTGCTCCAACACATGTAAAATGGAAGACCGAGCATCCAAAATTATGTGCTGTAGAGCTCATTACAAACTGTGCCCCCCAAATTTAAAGGTAAGTGCTAGCAGACTCCCACCAAAGCCACACAATGATCTCAGCAAAAGCCATTTCACAATAACTCCCAGTGGAGAGAAACTACAAAACAGTTCTTGAAGAGACTGAATACAGTGTACTGCTGCGTAGGGAGTTAAGTTTTAAGCAAGTTAATATCTTAGTATATTTACCTAAAAAGATGATCTGAATTTTGGAATAATTTTACTATAAGCCATTCCTCCTGAGAGTAAAAGAGAAAAGGGTTGATTACTGGTCAAAGCCATACATAGATCAACCTTGTTAACAAGCAAGAGTTAATGACCGTGGGTGTGATCAATGGAGCACTTTCTTTCTAGGTGCAGGTGCCAGGTCCCTGTGGCCTCAGCCACACCTGTTCTACTGGGCTTATGTTATTAATTTGCCTTCAGGCACACCCACAAGTTGTGGTATCTTCTCACCAACAGCCACAATGCTTGAAAGGATACAAGATCATTCCTGGCACCCCTGCACCTAGCTGCCTGAGCTGAGAACGTGAGAATCCTCTCCCCCATCTGATCAGTTTTCAGGTATGCTATTGTTGCCACCTTGTAGAGTCAGTGTTTTTTCTTCTCTCCATCCCTGTGGCCATTGTTTCCTGCCTGGACTTGGCAGCTGCCTTTTTCATGGTCTCTTCCTTCAGAACTGCCCTCAAGTTTCCACTTTGGTTGCCTAGTGGTCTTTGTGTCACGATGGCACAGAGGCGCAAACCTCACAATGCCTCGCCCACTCTGAAGCATTTGATAGCCCCCAGTGTCCCTCAGTGTCAGACACAACCCTCCTGAGCTCACATTCCTCTTCATAAGGGACAAGGAGTAGCCCGTTAGAGATGGGTTAACCTAAGTAGAAATTTACAAATGATGCCAGGGGTCCCTCTGCTGGACAGTTCAAAGAATTCCTTGGATTCTGGACTGAAAACCTAGGCATGGTAACGAGGGTCCTGAAGGGAAGAAGCCCCAGACATCCAGATCACAAGACCCTTTCTTCTTTCTCTTGTTCCCAGCCCAGAAAGGTGGAGGAAATAAATGGTTTGTTAGGATAAATGACCTGGCTTCTCTGGAGAGAATCTCTAGGAAAGGAAGTCCAGGGTGGATCCATCTATGGGGCCCAAGCTACGTTTTCCCGAGGGCAAGCAATTTCTTTCTTCCAAATCTCCCAGGGCATTCCATTGAGAATTCCACGGAGAAATCTATACAACACTCCTAGTCCATTACACCAATCCTCCGATCCTCAGAGATTCTGAAAGTTACACCTGCCTCTTTCTGTTTAAGAGATGACATCTATGGGGATCTTCTATATCATCAGCTTCCTCCTATTTTGTTGATGGCACTGAAGAAGTCATCCTGGCTGTCTCAGAGAGATGCCCTTCTCTGTGCAAATGTCCCGGCTCTGCAAGCTGTGGTTCGCCTCCCAGGGTACTCGCCTCCCATGCTGCCACTTGTTCAGAGTGAATTCAGCTTGAGAACTACTGTTAGAGTGATCAGCAGTGTCCTGTCCACCACCAATACCCACAGAAGCATTTCCTAGACCTAGCAGACTTCTTGGAGCATGCCGCATAATGGCTCAGAATTGTC